GCCCCCTCTCCCCCCACCGCCAGCCTCCGTGGCCTAGACTCGGAGGTAACGCTAACGGCACCGGGAGGCGGCTGCTATTCCAGAGAAATGAAATGATTTTGTCAACAGTGTCTGTGGCCGCCGCTGAGTGACAGCGAATGGAGTCTGGACACAGGGCTGGGCTAATTAGCGCGGAGACGCGCGGCTGTGGGCGCTGACAGTCCCCGTCTGTGTGCGTGCGTGTGCGTGCGTGTGTGCGTGTGCATGTATGTGTGTGTGTGCATGTGCGTGTGCACCACCCACACAGCCCCACCCGCACGCTGGCCTCTCTCCGGGGCCACTCCCAGCCCAGCCCATCCTCAGCCAGAGACCCTGGAGCCAGCCGCTCAGCCGCTCAGCCACTCCAACCACAGCCCGGAAAGGGGTGGGCAGGTCAGGGACAGGGGCAGGAGGAGCCCTCGAGGCCCACCCCCGGGGCCAGTCTCTGCCACTCACTCGTTCTTCTTCTCATTATTTTTTTGGTTAATCCTCACCCGAGGATATTTTTCCATTGATTTTAGAGAGAGTGGAAGAGAGAGGGAGAGACAGAGAGAAACATGGATGTGAGAGAAACACATCGATGGGCTGCCTCCCGCCAGAGCCTCGTCCAGGGCCTGGGCCGGGGAGGAGCCTGCAACCCAGGTATGTGCCCTTGACCGGAATCGAACCCGGGACCCTTCAGTCCCCAGGCCGACGCTCTATCCACTGAGCCACACCGGCCAGGGCCACTCACTCGTTCTTGGCGAAGGCGTATCTGTTGATGGTCTCAATCGCCTGTGTGTGCGTGCGTGTGTGCGTGCGTGTGTGCGTGTGCATGTATGTGTGTGTGTGCATGTGCGTGTGCACCACCCAAACAGCCCCACCCGCACGCAGCCCTCTCTCCGGGGCCACTCCCGGCCCAGCCCATCCTCAGCCAGAGACCCTGGAGCCAGCTGCTCAGCCGCTCCAACCACAGCCCGGAAAGGGGTGGGCAGGGCAGGGGCAGGGGCGGGAGGAGCCCTCGAGGCCCACCCCCGGGGCCAGTCTCTGCCACTCACTCGTTCTTCTTCTTATTATTATTTATGGTTAATCCTCACCCGAGGATATTTTCCCATTGATTTTAGAGAGAGTGGAAGAGAGAGGGAGAGACAGAGAGAAACATGGATGTGAGAGAAACACATCGATGGGCTGCCTCCCGCCAGAGCCTCGTCCAGGGCCCGGGCCCGGGAGGAGCCTGCAACCCAGGTATGTGCCCTTGACCGGAATCGAACCCGGGACCCTTCAGTCCCCAGGCCGACGCTCTATCCACTGAGCCACACCGGCCAGGGCCACTCACTCGTTCTTGGCGAAGGCGTATCTGTTGATGGTCTCAATGACGTCTTTGAAGAGGATCTTGGAGGTCAGGGTGTAGCCGTGGTGCACAATGGGCTCCCCGTCGGGCCCGTCCCAGCAGTCCACTGCGGGCAGGAGACCCGGTCAGCTCCCGGCCGCCCTGCCCAGAGC